GGTCATGGATGTCCCTCCCTGGAAAGCCTCAAGGGATTGTGTTGTCCGAGAAACTGGTCTCTGGTAGCTAAAGTGGTCTCTGTTGCCCCCCATGGTCCACTGCAGCAGGCTCGACCTCTGACCCTGGATGCACAAAAACCAACAGAGGGGGGATTTCGGGCAGAGAGAGAAAGAGCACCGGGGTTAGAGCCTGGGTTTGATCGCAGGTACACTGAGGATGATCCCTGAGCACAGATCCCTGAGCCCAGGTGTGGGAATGATGGGGGGTCTCAAAGCTCCCCGTGGCCCACCTCACCCTCATCCTCTTGAGCTCCCAGAATCCCTTCTCGGGAGCAGCTTTGGAGCCCCTGCCAGAAACTGCCGGCTCTGCCTGATGACGTGTTGCTTCGAAGATGGAATAACACAGCCTCTGGGTTGGCGGGCACCTGGGGCCACCAGACACTGGCAGGCCACGGCACCGCGGGCTGCGTGACCCAGTCCATGGCATCTCCACTGTCGCTGAATGTGCTCCTTGGATTGAGGCACACGGGCTGTGCGGGAGGGCTCAGAGGGGATCCAAAGCTTCAGCTCTCTTTTCCTCTTTGGTTATTGGTTTGAGGGCCACATCCAGCAGTGATGAGGGCTTCCTCCTAGCTCTGTGCTCAGGGATCCCTCTTGGCAGAACTTGAGAGGCCCTGTGGGGTGCCAGGGATCAAACGTGGCTTAGCTGCAGCAAGGCAAGCGCCCTCCCTGCTGTTCTATCTCTCCAATACAAGGATCCAAAACTTTTGGATCAGGGCCTGGGACCAGGGACAGCGGTTTGAGTATCTACTTCCCATATGTGAGGCCTCGGGTTCGATCCCCGGTACTGCAGACATGTAAAGGTAAAGGTAAAAAGGTAAAGGCCTTCCCGTTGATCATCGATTTGCTCGAGCGGGCCCAGTAACATCTCCATTGGAGACTTTGTTGTTACTGTGTCTGGCATATCGAATACGTCACAGGGAGCTTGCCAGGCTCTGCCGTGCGGGCAAGATACTCTCGGTAGCTTGCCGGGCTCTCCGAGAGGGGCGGAGGAATCGAACTCGGGTGGGCCATGTTGGCTGCGTGCAAGGCAGACGCCCTACCCGCTGTGCTATCGCTCCAGCCCTGCAGACATGTAAATAAAATATATGAAAAGCTCAAGCATCATCAGCTGGTGGGGATCTCAGAGTTCCCCAAGAGGGGCTCTAAAGCCGCATCGCTGAGCCCTTTCCAAAAGATAAGACGGAGGATTTTCACCAGGCCCTGCATTCCCGAGCAAAGCCCATCAACTCGGTGGGGAACAGGCTGCGTTCAGGGGTGCGAGGTCTCCTTCATCGAGGAGACCGTTCCTGATGCACTGGTTGCTCAGTCTTCCCAAGCTCAGGGGAGAAAGGCCTGGATGACGCCGGTCCTCCCCAGAGGAGTCAGGAGGACCGGGAACTGGGGAGGACGGGCAGTGAGACGCGGGACTTGGCCACCAAGGACACATCTGTGCTGCGTCACACAGAACTGCGGTGCTCAGGCTTCCTCCTGCCTCTGTGCCCAAGCATCACTCCTGGCGGTACTCCAGGGACCCTGCAGGGCTGGAGGCTAAACCCAAGTCGGCCACACTCAAAGCAAATGTCCTGGGCCCCAAGGACAGTGTGTGTGAAGGAGGTTCAGCCCGCCAGCACTGACAGCGCCCAGCGCTTCATGTCTCTGTTCCCGGCCCTCTGATGGCCGGCCGGTGGTGTGAGTTATTCCCTGTGCGGGTTACAATAGATGATCCGTCCCTAGACAGAGGCTCACACCCTTGTGGCCTCTCAGAGGGCATTTCTTTGACAGCTGGAGAGGGGACAGTTCTGTGGGCAGAGTAGCCTTGAAGCCTAGACAATGGAATTAGCTGGATCCCTATGACCTGTCTACACGACAAACCTCATCTGCCTTTTTTTGGGGGGGGTCACACCCAGCGTCGCTCAGGGGTTACTTCTGGCCCTTGCACTCAGGAATTACTCCTGACAGTGCTTGGGGGACCATATGGGATGCCAGGGATTGAACCCAGGTCAGCCACGTGCAAGGCAAACTCCCTCTCCACTGTGCTATCACTCCGGTCCCCAGAAACCTCTTTCTTAACAGCCTCTGGGTCCAGTACCTGCTCATCTCCCTAACCCATGCCCTCTTCTTTTCCTTTGGCTTTGTTTTGTCTTAGGGGTGTGCTGGCCAGGGGTTACTCCTGGTTCCACACTCAGGAATTACTCCTGGTGGTGTTCGGGGCACCATATGGGATGCAGGGACTCGAACCCTGGTTGGCTGTTGCATGCAAGGCAAGCTCCTTACCTCCTGTGCTATTCTTCCAGCCTCCCATTCCCTGTTCTTAGCTAGCAGTGAGCTCATTTCCTTCCAGATGGCGGAAAAAAACAGGTCAGGAAATGAGGTCCTTGCCTAATTCAGAGGTATCTGTCTCTAGCGATACGACATCTTGTGGTCTTTTGGGATCCGAACACCCCACTACCAAATGAGCCTTGAATTAGAGGTCATCAGCTCCAGAGGCTGAAACAGAAATGGAACATCTCGGTGGGCTGGGTCGCTGCTCTCTTTCATGCTGAGTAAAAGCAGGAATCCTCTGGGGCCAGAGACACAGCCCTATGGGCTGATGCATGCGGGCCCCCTACCCACACGGTTCCTTGAGCACCGCTGGGAGGGACCCCCAACACTGTGGGGATAGGCCCAATCCCATGGAGCTGAATAAATTATTCACATGCAGATGAATAATCTGCCAGTGAAAAACGGTCACATTTTATTTGACAACTGGACTTACACTGCCTTTGGGAAACAGGAAGTGCAGGTACTGGCGGTGCCATGACCCCATGTGGCAACTGCCCTGTGTCCTGGGGGAGGGGGGTTCTCCACACCCCACTTTCCCAGGGACCAGTGGCCTGGACACTGGGGTTTGCCATGCTGGGTCCTGGCCCATTAAGCATCAATGTCCTGGAGCCGCTCGGGGCTGGCCACAGAGGCTGATGCAGTTTCCATGGAGTGTGGGACAGTCACCCTGGTCAGTCCGCGAGGTCCTGAGTGCATGCTGTATTTTCTCCACTTTCTCCCTCTCTGTCCCCTCCCACCTGCTTCTTCCCTAGACCCCTCCATCCTGCTAGATGCCGCCCTTAGTGTTGTGGTGTGATCCCCTCATGGACACAGTTGTTTATTATTATTATTATTATTATTATTGACAGCAGGTAGGGCATTTGCCTTGCAAGCGGCCAACGTGGCCGACCCGAGTTTGATTCCTCCGCCCCTCTAGGAGAGCCCGGCAAGCTACGGGGAGTATTCGCCCACATGGCAAAGCCTGGCAAGCTCCCCGTGATGTATTCAATATGCCAAACACAGTAACAATTGTCACAATGGAGACATTACTGGGCCCGCTGGAGCAAAACAATGAACAACGGGAGGACAGTGACAGTGATTGTTATTGTTGTTGCTGTTGCCTTCGGGGGCCACACCCAGTGGTGACTCCTGGCTCAGGAATTACTCTCCTGGAGGTGCTCAGGGGACAACATGGGAGGCTGGGGATTGAACCCAGGTCAGCTGCCTCAAGGCAACCACCCTAACCACTGTTCTATTGCTCCAGCACCAAGAACACCATGTTTGTGGTGGGAAATGCCGTACAAGCAAGTCACCTGGATCTTTATCTCCTGGCCTAGAGGAGTTTGGGGTTGAGTCCACCAGCAGCCTGAAGATGAGGCTGATCTCTACTTCCCACCGAGGCCACTGCAGAGATAATGGAGGGGTGCATGTAAAGGGAGTTGGGGGTTGAGGATGAGACGGGGTGTCCTGTAGGGGAGGCCGAGGGAGTGGGCTCACAGCCAACTCTCCAGCTCCACAGAGACAGCCCTGGACTGGGCTCCCGTCTCCCTAAATAAGGTGTCAAATGGGGCTGGAGCCATAGCACAGCCGGGAGGTTGCTTGCCTTACACGCAGCCAACACGGGTTTGATCCTCGGTACCCCGTATGGTCCCCTGAGCCCCGCCAGGAGTGATTCCTGAGGGCAGAGCCAGCAGTAAGCCCTGAGCATCGCCTGGCCTCGCCCCCAAACCAAAACACCAAAACGAAGCCAAAAGGTATCAACGGGTTCATCTCCACCCCTGAAGGTCTTCATGCCCGGCTGCTGGCCATCGGGCTGGGTGCCACGCGTGTACAGGCGGGAGAGCTCTGGCAGGCACTGCCAGGCTGGACGCCAGCCTGACCTACGAGGATGGAGAAGCACTCACGAGTGGCGGGGGCAGGCGGGCTGACCCAAGACGGCTTCGAGTCCCTCAGCAAGCCCAGGGGGAGGGCGGTGCCACACAGTTAAGTTGACTGGAATAGAGTCCAAGGCAGCGGCAGCCAACCCTAGTGCTATCCCGCGCCTGGCACCGCACAGGGTCCCCGAAGCACGGGCAGGAGTAGATTCCTGAGCACAGAGCCCCCCAAACCCAAACAGAGAGATAGGAAAAGGTCAGTCTTGCACGCGGCCAAGCCAGGTTCGATTCCCAGCATCCCCTATGGCCCCCCAAGCACCGCCAGGAGTAATTCCTGAGTGCAGAGCCAGGAGGAAGCCCTGCGCATCATTGGGTGACTCCCATCCCCCCCCCAAAAAAAAAGCAAGAAAAAGAAGGTGATCGAGACGGGACGGGAGCCGAGGCGTGCAGCCAGCCCGCGGGCAATTCCTGGTGCCGCAGACGGTCCCCCAAGCACTGCCGGGGGTCACTCCTGAGCGCGCAGCCGACGACCCAGCGGGGGTCTCGGAGCTCCAGGACGGTGGCCCGGGGCGCGGGCGGCGCTGCTCGCGGGCGCCCCCTGCCGGGCGCGGGGCGGCGCTGCTGGCCGGCTCCTCCCCGCGCGCCCGCCCCGCGCCCGCCCCGCGCCCGGCTCTGCGCGGAGGCTGCGGCTCGGCCCGGGCAGCGCGGCGGCGGCTCGGGGAGCGGGGCTCGGCCCCCCGGCGCATCCCTCGCGCACCCGAGCCGGCCGGCGCGGGGGGTCCGCGGGGCGCGCGGGCCATGGAGCCGGCGCGCTCGCCCCCCGCGCGCACCCGCCCGCCGCCGCCCCCCGCCGCGCGGCCCGCGCCCGCCGCGTCCCGGCCGCGCTCGCCCGCCGAGGCCGAGGCCCGCGCCGCCGAGGGGCAGCTGCGGCGATCGGGGTCGGGCTACGAGGGCAGCCACAGCTGGAAGGCGGCCCTGGAGGGTAAGCGCGCCGTCACCTTGGCCGGCCCCGCGGGGGACGGCGGGGGCGCCCGGCTGCGGTCCCCCACCCCACCCCCCGCCCCCATCCCCGACAGGCGCAACGATCGCGGAGGCCCCGCATCGGGGTGGGGCGCGAGGGTCGAGCTCGGGACACCCCCCACATACACACACGCGCCGGACAGCCTTGACTCGGGTCCCTCGTTGACCTTGGGAGCAGCTGCTCGCTCTGCGCCCCGCTGTCCTCCTGAGTGTAGCTGGACGAGCGCTCGGCGGGCGCGGGCGCGGGGACGTCCCCCGCCAGCCTTTGGAGTTTGCGGACGGGCGAGGATGCTCTGAACCAAGGGACCAAAGGCCACGGGGACAGGGACGGTACTGCTGCCCCGAGGGAAGTGGGGGGCGGGCGGCTGGTGATGTTGGGGTCTCGCAGAGCAGCGGGGAACGACGGGAAGCCCCCTGGGTGGTCGGCTCTAGGCACGTGGGGCGGGGGGCCCGAAAGCAGAGCTCAGTTCTCTGCCCACTTGGAGGAAACTTGTGGCTACCGGCTTGTTGGGAGCCGCGGGAGCCGGTCAGCGAGAGGGCTGGACCTCTGTGCTCCTGGGTCCAAGGGCCGGACGCCTGGAGTGGGAATCTCTCAACCTTGAAGCCAGGAAGGTTTCCCGGAGCCTCTTAGGTGACCTGGAGAGAAAAAAGAAGGGGTGCAGCTGGCTCAAGGCAGGACGGGTTCAGGGGCGCTGGGACCCGTGCTAGCCGGTTCCTTGGGGGGAGATGACAAGCCCCCCTGGGGGAGAGGGGTCAGGTGAAGGCCAGGTGAGGGGGGCATGGGGTACAAGCTGGTGGGGCGGACATAGGCGGGCCGGGCATGTGGACAGTCTGAGGGCGCCCTGGAGTCTCTGGCTAGTGAGGTTTGGGGTTTGGGGGGGCAGTCCTGGTGGTGCCCTGAGGTCACAGCTTGGGGGGATGGAACCCAAGGTCCTGACTGGTCCTGCACCCCAATCCTTCACACCAGCCCGGATGGTGATTCGGGATAAAGGAAGCGAGAAGTGGGGGCTGGACGAGGGCTCAGCCCTGGTGGGAGCCGAGAAGAATGTGGGGGGGCGACACCCGTCACCTGGCCCCCGCTGAGTGGACGTCCAGGCGCCCGCTGGGGACTGTCTTCCTCTATCACCTGGTCATCCTGCCCTGTGTCCCTCATCCCGGGAGGCTGTCCTGGGGTGCTGGTTTGCCTGCCGTCCTCACCATAGTCCTCTGCTGCTGCTCCAGCCTGGGGCGGGGGGGTCTTGGGGCTTGTGCGGACGGACCCCAGCAGAGAAGCCGCTCTGGGCCTCCATGTGCTCCTGTGACCTTCTACCCAATGGCTCGTGCCCTGCCGCCCCCTCCAGCCCCTGATGGTGACCCTGAGAGATCACCGCCAGAGACCAGTGATTCTGGGCTTCATATCTGGGGTCTCTGTTCCCAAGTCCTTGTGGGGCGCTCTCCAAACCCCGAGACTGGCCCTAAGGGACCCAGGAGGGCCCGAGTGCAGTGGACGCTGTCCAGCATCATGGGCTGGCTGGCTACTGAGCCTGCATGAACCCCGGAGTCCTCTCCTGCTAAGCTCAACAGTGGTCCTCCCTCCCAGGGCTGCACAGACTGAGGGTGCCCCAAAAGCCCGGGCCCGCTGTGTACCCCACAATGAGAAGCACCATGATGGCATGGAGAGGGGGTGGGCTAACCAGGTCTGGGGACCCTGGGGTTTGCAGACCTCATTTAACCAATCTCAGGACATATATATATATATATATATATATATATATATATATATTTTTTTTTTTTTAAGGGACTGGGGGCTCTGAGTGGTGCTCAGGGCAGGGCAGTACAGTGGTTACCTCCCACGGTGTCCGGGTTGGAACTCAGAGTCTACCCTGGAGCTTTTGGGGGGTATCTTCCTCCCGTGAGCGTCTTTTTGACTGGACTAAGCCAAACAGTGAGGGGCCATGTCCTACCTAGCCAGGCGCCCTGTGCATGGAGCATCTACCGGGACCCACACATCCCACGCACCCTGGCAGAGGCCCTCATCCGAGAGGCACCTGCGACTCAGAAAGAAGCTGAGGGTCTTTTTTTTCTGGAGGAGGACAGGTTGGGTCGCACCTGGGGGTGCTCAGGCCTTATTCCTGGCTCTGTGCTCAGGAGTGACCCCTAGTGGTGCTCGGGGGAACGTGGCATGCAGGGCTCAGGCTGTGCTCCGTAGTCTGCAAGGCAAGAGCTGCCTGTGGGTTCTGCCCATCCCATCCTGACCAGGGTCTCACAGGATGCCCACCCCGTCCTGTGTGCTACCAGGGACCTCTGACAGGAAAGTGGCCCCTGCAGTGTGAGGCTCATCAGAGACAGGGCGTGCTTTCATACTCCCCCGTCTCGTCTGTGTGCGCCTCCAGGGCTCCTTCCTTTCCCTGCACAGACGGTGACATTTTACCCCCATCACGGGTTTGTGGGATCCTAAAGGTGGTGGAGAGCCCCAGTCTGCAGGACTCTCCTTAGCAGGGGTGGGGGATGGTTTTTCTGCCATTTCTTTTTAAAAAAAAATTTTTTTTTGCTTTTTTGGGGGGGTCACACCCGGTGATGCACAAGGGTTACTCCTGGCTCTGCACTCAGGAGTTACTCCTGGTGCTACTCGGGGGACCATATGGGATGCTGGGAATCGAACCCGGGTCAGCTGTGTGCAAGGCAAACACCCTACCTGCTGTGCTATTGCTCCAGCCCCCCATTTGGCTATTTCTAGCACCCTTCAGAGCCCTGAACAGTAGAGGGCCATACAGGAAGACGGCGAGCAGAAGCATCAGATCTGACCCATCTGGTATCGGGTCCAGGCCACCTGGTATGAGGCTTGCAGCAGTTTTTTTCCAGTCCGGCCCCCAAATGTTGACTTTTTTGGTTATTTTTGGTTTTGTTTTTGTTTGGGGGCCATACCCAGCAGGGCTCAGGGAATACTCCTGGCTCTATCCTCAGAAATTTTTGCTGGCGGTGCTTGGGGACCATGTGGGGTGCTGGGGCTTGAACCCCTGCAAGGCAAGAGCCCGACTTCCTGTACTATGAATCTGGCCCCCAAACCGTTGACTTCATAAATAGTCAAATGGAAAGTTCCGATCATAAGGCCTTCTCTCCTGTGGGGTTCACCTTCTAGAACAGTCTTGGGGAGATGCTGGCAAAGGTGACCCTGAGCTTCCTTCTGGGTACTGCAAAGATGAGGTGATGGAGCTATTTCTGGCATGCATGGGAGTGGGGAGAGGTGCCAGGGGGCCTGCAGGGTGGGACAGAGTGATCCTGAGGACCTCAGGGTATGGATTTTTCCGGTGCTCACCAATTCTTAATTTTTAATGTGGAAAGCTTCTCAGTTAGGTACAAACCCACAATTTCCTGGTCAAAACCACACACGCGCATTTGGCAAAATTTCCCAAGCATTTTCTGATGACCAAACTACAGTGGCTTGTGTAGAACCATCCAGATGAGCATATGGGCTTGGCCTTGACCCCTAACGACCTGGCTGTGGATCTCAGAGGGGGGAGGGCTGGGGTGTGAGTGGGGAGCTGGGGGATTTTTCAGTTGTTCTGTCGAAACTTGAATGAAAAAAAATCCTGCACTCTTGGAAACACAAGTTCCCCACCAGACTACGCCTAACACGTCCACTGCATGGAAAAAGGATTCTTGGAAAAAATTAAAAAGAAAAATAACATGCAACAGTCATTTAACAAAAGTAACTGGTAAAGTCTAACTGGGAGACATACTGGCTGCAACATCTTATCCTCGCCTGTTACAGTTGCATTTTTGTGAGTGCTGTGACGGGTACAGCTCCTGCAGGGGCATGAACGCATTCCTAGGAGTACTCCTTGCTACCTGCATTACATATGAGAAATTTGATCCACATCCTGGGTGTCCTTCACTTCCGTTGATGCTGTGGAAGAGGTCATCTGCAGGGTGGCATGTGAGAACCGGGCTTATGAACGTGTCGCTCAGCCTGGACCCTGCCGGACACCACATCTCCGTTCCTCTTCAGACATTCCATGAGTTTTGGGTGCTTGGGTGCAGGTCAAAAAACTTGTCTGAGCAGCCGATCTGCTTATGGATCAGGCCAGTGAGACCCCAAATCTCAGGGGCTTTGTGAACACCCCCTAATGTTGCGGTTCCGTGAGCACTGCCCCTGCTCCCTTCTCTCCCAACAAGCTTGATGCTATTTCAGATTGATCCCCCAGCCCAGCTGCTCACAAGTAGGGATTTGGATGGGGTGTGGAACTCTCAGGTATGTTTTTGGATCCAGTTCTGTCTGTCCAGTGCGCTGTGCCCATAGGCCATGGTGGGCAGACTCCACTTTCACTGGGGACCAGAAGAACTGCAACATGGCACCTCCGACAAGCTACAAGACCATGAAATATATATATATATATATGCATATATATATATTTGCTTTTTGGGTGACACTTGATGATGCACAGGTGTTACTCCTGGCTCATGTACTGAGGAATTACTGTTGGCGGTGCTTGGGGGACCATATGGGAATCTGGGGATCGAACCCAGGTTGGCTGCGTGCAAGGCAAACACCCAACCTGCTGTGCTATCGCTCCAGCCCCTGGGACTAAGGGAGTTTTGATGGTCCCTTCCCCACATTTCCTCAGCGACACTGACCCCAGAACACAGGAGAGCCAGAATCTGGTACCCACAGACTGAAACAGCAGAAAAGTGTTGTGGCTTGGAAGAAATCAGCGATTTATTATTTTTTCTATTATTTTTTTTCTTTTTTGGGTCACACCCGGCGATGCTCAGGGGTTACACCTGGCTTTGCACTCGCGAATTACTCCTGGCGGTGCTCGGGAGACCATCTGGGATGCTGGGAATTGAACCTGGGTTGGCTGCATGCAAGGCAACACCCTACCCGCTGTGCTCCAGCCCCAGAAATCAGTGATTTAGAAGACACAAAAACTCTACAGGGAGGAGTAAATGACTTTGTTTTGTTTTGGGGCCATACCCTGTAATGCTCAGGGTTTAAGCCAAGTCACACGTCTTGGCTCTGTGTGCAGGGATCACTCCTGGAAGGACTCAGGGGACCCTGTGGGGTGCCTGGGAGCAAATCTGGTTGGTTGTGTGCAAGGTAAATGCCCTCCCCACTGTACTCTCTCTGACCCTAGTTTTTATTTATTTATTTATTTATTGGTCTTTTGGACCATGCCTGGCCATACTCAGGGGGTTACTCCTGGCTCTGCACTCAGGGATTACTCCTGGTGGGGTTTAGGGGAGCCTCCGGGATGCTGGAGATTGAATCTGGTTTGACCCATGCAAGGCAAGCACCCTGCCCACTGTCCTATCCGGCCTCCCCCTAATTCTTGAGCTAAAAGAGTTAGCTCTGGAAGTGGTCTGGCTCTGTCTGTGGGAGGGACACTGTGCTTTTTTGTTTGTTTCTTCAAGTCTTGTAACTTTTGGGAGTAGGACAGAAGATTATTTCATCGCGATGGACCCAGGGATCACAGTGGGTCCTAATCCATTTGACAATGGATTAGGTTCAAAAACTGAAGTAGTGTCTACAGTTACGTTCAAAGCGACAGATGGGACTAGAGATGAACTGAGAGCTTTTGCCACACATCCTGGTGCCAAACAAGAAAACTGGGCATGGGGGCTGGAGCAATAGCACAGCGGGTAGGGCGTTTGCCTTGCACACGGCCGACCCGGGTTTGATTCCCAGCATTCCATATGGTTCCCTGAGCACCGCCAGGGGTAATTCCTGAGCGCAGAGCCAGGAGTAACCCCTGAGCATCACCGGGTGTGATCCAAAAAGAAAAGAAAATCGGGCATGGTCATAGCCATGCACCAAGCGGGCAGCGGTTTCTCTCCGTGGCTCAGGGTTAGGATCTGCACATCCTGTTCAACAGCGAGCTGCTGGGTCAGCCTGGATCGTCCATGCAGCGAGTGGACAGCCGTCATACATGACATCTCTGGTTGAACACAGAGAAGCCACACGTCACGCACGTCCCAGGAACTTGATGCTTGCAGACTTTCAGCCTTCCCCTGGCCCAGCAGCGTGTGGAAGTTGCTTTTCACTAATTTAACAAATTGGCATCTAACAGTTTCAGTCGTGTAATCCAGTTCTCCACATAGCATCAATCCCGCGGTTCCTGGAGTTTCTCCATGTTTGATGTGGGTTTCTTGGGTCCTTGATGCAGGACCAGGCTACTATACCAGTCCTTTGTGAATGAAATATGCTCTTAGATGTGTCGGCTATGTTGAATGCTATGGAAGTTTCTAGAAAAGAAACAGGGGCCGGAGCGATAGTACAGCAGGTAGGATGCTGCCTTGTACACAACTGAACCAGGCTTAGTCCCTGGCCTCCCATCTGGGCTTCTGGACACTGCCAGGAGCGATCCCTGAGCACAGAGCCTGGAGGAAACCCTGAACATCGTGTGGTCTAGGGGACAAAAAAAAAGAAAGAAAGAAAGAAATGGGCTAGACAGCACAGTGGACTGAGCATCTGGGGAGACCTGGGTTGGATTCCCCACTGCACGTTCCACTGAGCACTGCTCGGAACTGACTCTGACCACCATCTGGTCCAATGCAGAGCAAAAAAAAAAAAAAAATCTAACAACTAAAATAAGAGATGAAAGTTTCTAGGCCTTTCCTCTCAGTTGTCTGTGAACCAACAGGGGACCGTGGGCTCTGCATTCCCATATGCTCACTCATAGCTTTGATTTAAAAAGGGATTAAATAAGTAAATAAATAAAAAGGGATTTGGAGGGGCTGGAGCAGTAGCACAGCAGGTAGGGCGTTTGCCTTGCACGCATCCGACCAGGTTTCAATTCCCAGTATCCCACATGGTCCCCTGAGCACTGCCAGGAGTAATTCCTGAGTGAAAAGCCAGGAGTAAGCCCTGTGTGTCACCAGGTGTGACCCTAAAAGCAAAAAAAAAAAAAGGGGGGATTTGGGGTGCTGGAGTCATGGTCCAGCAGGAGGGTTGCATGCGGCCTGCCTGGGTTTGATCCCCAGCACCTCATATGAACCCCCGAGCCCGGCCAGGAATGATCCCTGAACACAGAGCCAGGAATAATAAGCCCTGAGCATTGCTGGGTGTGACCCAGAAACCAAACAAACAAAAACAGGACTTTGGACCAGAGAGATAGTACAAGGGGTGGGGCCCTTTGCCTTGCACAGGGCTGAGTCAGGTTCAATCTGGGCATCACTTATGGGTCTCCTGAGCCCAATAGGAGTAAGCCTGCCTCTGTGCTCAGGGTGATGTGTGATGCCGGGAGTCAAACTGGGGCTGGCCGTATGCAAGGCAATTGCCTTAACCTTGTACTATCTCTCTAGCCCCTAAAGATATGTATATTATATATTATGTACATATATATACACATATAACAAACACTCCCGTTGTTCATCGATTTGCTCAAGCGGGCCCAGTAACAGCTCCATTTTTGAGACATGTTGTTACTGTGTTTGGCCTATGACCTATGTCAGGGGTAGCTTGCCAGGCTTTGCCGTGCGGGCGAGATACTCTTGGTACCTTACCGGGCTCTCTGAGAGGGGCAGAGGAATCGAACCCGGCTCAGCTGGGCTGGCTGCACGCAAGGCAAATGCCCTACCGCTGTGCTATCGCTCCAGCCCACACATATATACACATATATGTATCATGTATCATATATACATTTCTTTCACTAAAGATAAAATTAGATGTACAAGAGATAACAATAGTTACATGGACGTAAAGGAGAGTCAGTGGTCAAGGGAGATTTGGCGATGGGGACAGGCCGTGCAGAGGTCAGCAGGAGCCTGGGCAGCCGCTGTCTGGGAAGCCACCACGTTTTCTTCCCTTGGGGATTTTGGGCCGCACCCGGCAGTGCCCAGCGATCACTCCTGGCCAAGCTCAGGTGACCATCCTGAGGATGGAATCCAGGTCTGTCGTATGCCAAGCAAACACCTTTCCTGCTGGACTATCACTCTGGCCCATGGCTGGGTTTTGCAAAGGGGTTGGGGTTGTGCCACAGTGGAGGGAGATAAAGGATGGGCTCATCTCGGGAGCTGGACGGGGCAGCGGGATGGCAAGACCGCGGCAAGAAGTGTGCGGGTCCAGACGGGTGGCAGGCGGCCTGGAGCCGGGTTCTGTCCCTGTGTCCCTGTGGCTGTCTGCGGGCTCAGACCTGGCTGAGTCCAGCACGCTCAGCCTCAACTGCCCCGTCCCGAGCTTCTCCATGAGGGTGGGGGGGCAGGAGGGCAGTGCTGGCCGGTAGGCTGGGGGGACGGGGATGCCCTGCGCTGACCCCCCTTTCTCTCCTCCCCAGACACCACCACCCGTCTCCTGCTGGGTGCCATTGCAGTCCTCTTGTTTGCGATCCTGGTGGTGATGAGCATCCTGGGTGAGCTGTTGCCAGGGGCGCCCTGATTCCGGCAGTCTGGGTGGGTCGGGGGGGGGCGAGCCCATCTTAGCAGAATAAGGAGTGTCCAGGCAGGTCACATCTTCTGTGGGGGACCAAAGCCGCTAGAGAGTGAAGTGTCCTTTTGAGAGGAGGCATTTTAGCTCCCAGTAAGATCTCCACGGAGGGTGGCCAAGAAGTCACCCAAGCATTGAGCGTGAGAAAGGCCACCTTTTCCCCACCTGGGAAAGTTGGAAGGGGGGGGGGGTCATATCCAGCTGTACTCAGGGCTTACTCCTGCCTCTGTGCTCAGGGATCACTCCTGGCAGGTCCGGGGACCCCGATGGGATGCCTGGGATGGAGCCCGGGTCAGCCATGTCCACAGCGGCGCCCCTGCACCTGTCTGTCTTGTTCTTTTCTCTGGAAGTGTGTGATTTTGGCCACACACATTGGTCCTTGGCGTTTATTCCCAGCTCTGTGCTCAGAAGTTGTCCCCACAGTGCTGGAGGAATCAAGTAGGGCTGAGCATTTGGAGCCCTGGGTGTGATTCTTTTTCTTTTTTTCTTTTTGGATCACACCCGGCGATGCTCAGGGGTTACTCCTGGCTCTGCACTCAGGAGTTACTCCTGACGGTGCTCAGGGAACCATATGGGATACAGAGAATCAAACCCTGGTTGGCCTCCTGCAAGGCAAACACCCTACCCGCTGTACTATCGCTCCAGCCCCCTGGGTGTGATTCTTGATCACTGCTGCGTCTCCAAAACTAAGGGAAAAGAAAGCTACAGATTGTGCAGGGGTACTTCATATGACATCTTTATTATGTGGGGGAATATATCAAGATTGGACAATTGTGAAAATGAGATTATGCATTTGGGTTTTTTAAAAATTATTATTATTATTATTTATTGAATCACCGTGGGATACAGAACTTTCATGTTTGAGTTTCAGTCATACACTGATCAAACACCCATCCCTCCACAAGTGCACATTCTCCACCACCAATGTCCCCAAGTATTGCTACTCCCCTTTCCCACCCTCCCCCTGCCTCCATGGCAGACAATTGCCCCCATACTCTCTCTCTACTTCTGGGCATTATGGTTCGCAATACAGATACTGCGAGGCCATCACGTTTGGTCCTTTATCTACTCTCCACACACATCTCCCATCCCGAACGATCCCTCCAACCATCATTGACTTAGTGATCCCTTCTCTGTCCCAGCTGCCCTCTCCCCCAGGTCATGAGACAGGCATTTGGGTTTAAAAGGCAATTTATACATGTTCCAAAACCCAGGACACTGACCTGAAAGTGACTCTCGTGTGAGATCTGTCTGGTGGTGGTGTGGACCCTCCGAGTGAGCCAGGCAGGATGGAGACAGGGTCCCGCAGAGCACCCCTGCAGAGAGCCACACCGGATGAGATGGGGCTGCAGGGCACCCCCGCAGAGGGCTGTGAGTGCCCGGGCAGCTGCAGGCATGGAAGGTTCTTCAGCTGCAGGTGGAGGCACCTGGCTTTGCCCTGGATCCCTACAGAGGCTGAGTCCGTGGGGCTGGGTGGCAGGAGGACAACTTGGGACTGGGAATGGAAACTCTGCAGGGACTGGGGACCAGCTCAGTGTGTCTAGGGGCCCATGCTGGAAGCATGAGGTTGTGAGTTCGCTCCCTGGGGCTGCCACATGGGAAGACCACAGCAGCACCACCGCCAGCTGTCCCCAGCACTGTGAAGCAATCCCAGGCGTGTGTGAGTGCCACGGCTGAGGGGGCGCAGGCCCAGGGGCCTTGCTGAAGGTGTGAGGGCCAGAGAGAGACAGAGAGAGATAGGGAGAGACAGGGAGAGAGACAGAGAGAGACAGGAAGAGACAGGGAGAGAGACAGGGAGAGATACATGCAGAGACAGAGAGGGACACAGAGAGAGATACATGCAGAGACAGAGAGAGACAGGGAGAGACAGGCAGAGAAGAAAGACACAGAGAGAGACAGGGAGAGATACACACAGAGATAGAGACAGAAAGAGACAGGGAGAGATACAGAGTCAGAAAGAGACAGAAAGACAGAGAGACAGGGAGAGACACATGCAGAGACAGAGACATGGAGAGAGAGACAGAGAGAGATATACGCAGAGACAGAGACACACAGAGAGACAGAGCGACAGGGAGAGAGAAAGAGATGCAGAGACAGAGGCAGAGAGACATAGAGAGACATATGCAGAGACAGAGAGAGACAGAGAAAGACAGAGAGATACACCCAGAGAGACAGAGACAGAGAGAGACAAAGAGAGAGATAGAGAAAGAGAGACAGATCGAGAGTGGGCTGGAGGAGGAGAGGCCGCGTGGCCCTCCTGGGGGAGGCACCTGAGTAGTGAGCCGTGGGGGGCGCCTGGGGGCCGACGGGGGGGGGGGGGCGGAGGCTGAGCCCTGTCCCCCGCAGCATCCAAGGGCTGCATCAAGTGCGAGGCGCCGTGCCCCGAGGACTGGCTGCTGTACGGGCGCAAGTGCTACTACTTCTCGGAGGAGCCGCGGGACTGGAACACCGGCCGGCAGCAGTGTCACTTGCAGGGCGCGGCGCTGGCCGTCATCCAGAGCGAGAAGGAGCTGGTGAGCGGCGGGCGCCGGTCAGGTCGAGGCCGGGGCGGGGGGTGGGAGGGGGCTGGACCTTCGGGGGCATCGAGGCGCGCTCGATCCTGCAAGGCGTGCGCCTGCCGAGCTGCCCGCTCTCTCCTTCCCGCCCCGGGGGGCCACCTCCAGGATACTCGGGGGCTGCCCCTGGCTTGGGCGTTGCTTCTCAGCGGGATTTGGGGGCTGGGGAGGTGGGGGGGGGGCGTCCCTGCAGACCAAGCCCAGCCCAGCGCCGGGACTGGGACTCGCTGATGCCGGGGTCTCCCTGCTTGTCTCGTGCAGGAATTCATGTTCAAGTTCACGCGACGGGAGCCCTGGATCGGCCTGCGCCGAGTGGGGGACGAGTTCCACTGGGTCAACGGGGACCCGTTTGACCCGGAGATGTGAGCCGAGCTTCATCTTCTCCCACCGACGCGTGGTCCCGGGAGAGGCCTCCCCCCACCACTGCTTTGCATGCTGCAGCGCCGAGCTCCTCCCGGATGCAGGGCGCCCCCTGCCTCCAGCCCAGCCTGGCTGGGGGGCTGCGCTTCCTGGGGCCCGCCCACCTGCTGCCATGGGGCCCTGCCTGGACGGGTGTTGGCCACACCATGGCGACCTGAGCTGCAAGGGAGGGGGCTGGCCCTGGGGCACCCCACCTTTCTGCTATGACAGCAAGGGGAGCTGAACCCGGCACTCCAGCATTGCTCTGGGAAGACCCCCACGTGTGCAGGTGATGGGTGCACGGTGCTGGGACTTCTGCGGCCCCAGTGGGACGGCGAGGGGAGGTGTCCGCTGCGTGGGGTCCTGGTGCCAGTGGTGGCGGGGTGAGGGCCGAGTGACTGGACAGAGGCGGTGCGGGGCGCGGTGGGCGGAATGCAGGCCAGCTTTCTGGAAGAACCTTCTAGTTCAGAGGCTTCAGGAAGAGGTTCTGAGGCACACACAGGGTCTGGCTGTTGCCAGGATGAGCACCCACGGGTGTCCGGTGGGTGCTGGATCGGAGCTGAGGGCAGGAAGGCCAGACGCTGGCCGTCGGCTGTCTGCCCTGCACTCGGGCGTCTGAAGAAGTCGGCCTTCTCCTCTCCTTCTGGAAGCTTCTGGGGTCACATTCTCTGACCCTGAGATGGCCCTGTCCCCCGCTTTGCTGTGGTCATTCTGATGTGTGTTGTCGGGAGACCCCAGCTACTGCTTTGGTGGGGGCGGTTAGGAAGTGACTTGGGGGTCTGGGAGGGAGCTGGCGGGGGGGGGGTGGAGTGCCCGCTCTGCCTGTGAGAGTCCTGGGTTTGATCCCGCAGGGTCTCCCCAGCACCCCTGGGACTGCCCCTGAGACTTGGAAGTGCTTCTGTGGGTTGAGAGAACCCCACCTCCGCCTCCTGCACACACAGAGCCCAGATAACCCCCAGGGAACTGCACGTCCTGGAGGTTAAGGGCCCTGCTGCGGGACCACTGCTCCTCTGGAGGGTGCTCAGTGCTCAGCAGAGAGCACTCGCTGGCCGAACAGCTGGACTCAGGGTCCCAGGGACTCTGGGGCATGATGGGTGGGTGGGAAGCAGGGTGGAAGTTTCTCGGAGCCGATGGGGAGTGTAGGGTGAGTGCAGGCATGGCCTGGGCCGGCTCGAGGGGCGCTGTGTGTGTTCGTGGTGGTCCTGGCTGTCGCAGGTGTGCTGTGGAGGTGGGTGTCTGACCCCAGGTGGGTGGTGATGGTGTGTGTGTGTCCCCAGGTGTGTGGGGGGGTGTCCAGGCTTAGGGAAGTCAGGGTGGTGGCTGTTGCCGGCCTGGAGGGCGGCTCCTGGGAGAGCCAGTCAGGCGCGGGCTGTGGGGTGGACTCTGAGGCCCCCTCTCTCCCGGCCTCAGGTTTCCCGTCGCGGGCCTGGGGGAGTGTGTCTTCGTGGAGCCCACGCGGCTGGTGTCCACCGAGTGCCTGATGACCCGGCCCTGGGTGTGCAGCAAGATGGCCTACACGTGAGGTGGGTCGGGCCAGGTTCGGGCACCCACCCGCCTTCTCTCCCAGCGGAGCCTGGGGGAGCACCCAGGGCCCTCTCCTGGCCCAGCTTCCCGTCTCCGGGACCACGGGCAGGTCCTGTGGCTCGGCAGTGAACCCCCACCTTCTCGGTAGTTTAGGACCCCCCCAACTCCTTCACACACACGTCCGCTGCACCCTCAAGTTCAGTTGCCCTCCATGCCCCTCCTCGGCGTGTCCGGAACCTTCCCACCTCATCGACCTCAGCTGTGGAGGGTGCTGGGAGCAGGGCGGAGAGCGCAGCCCCACCCTCTGCCTTGTCTGGGGTCCTCTGCGGCGCCCCTGCTCTGTCCCTGGTGCTCTCGGAGGGTCGCTGCTAGAATAAAGACGTGACTGGCGTCCAGCGAAGTCTGCGACCCTTTGTTCCTGGGTCGTGGAGGGGAGGGACGCGGCTAGTGTGTGTGTGTGTGTGTGTGCGTGAGCATGCGGGTGCATGTGTGCGCACGTGGGTAAATGTGGGGGGGTGGTGGATATGTGTGTGTGTATGTGTGTGGAGGGTGTGTGTGGGGGTATGTGGGTGTAGGTATGTATGTGTGTTGTGTGTGCATGTGTATGTGGGTATGTGGGTGTGGGTATGTTTGTGTGTGTGTATGGAGAGTGTGTGTGTGGGGGAAGGTTTCTGGGTATGTGTGTGTGTGGAGGGTGTGTGGGTGTGTGTGGTGTGTGTAGATGTGGGTGTGGGTGTTTGTGTGGGTGTTGGCGGGTGTGTGTGTGTGTGTGTGGAGGGTGTGTGTGTGTGGGGGGAATGTAGATGTGGGTTTGTGTGTGTGTGTGTGTGTGTGTGTATGTGTCAGGGGCAGGAACCAGCACAAACACGTGCCCAGGGCTCCTGAGTGTCAGAGGGAGCCTCTTTTTTTTTTTTTTTTGGCAGGTGGGCCTGTCCCGTGGTGCCAGGCTCCTGGGCTCCCGCTTGCGCCTCCTGCTGGCCAAGCCTGCGCCGCAGCCCTTGGAACCATCTCCTGTTCTGGCTCTGACGTCTTGTCCCGAGATCTGCCAGCTCTGGCCCGCATCTTTCAAGGCACCCTCTCGCTCCTGCGGAGGGGCGGGTTCCCGGGGCCACACCCCAACTGGGAATCCCTCGAGTAAAGGAACCCGGAGTAGAGGCCCACCCGTGGCTCCGGATGTGGTCTCCCCCTACCAGGAGACTTGAGCTGGAAATAAAAGCACCCCGTCTGTGGAACCCAGCCCAGCCTCTGGGAAACCCCAGCCACCCCGGCCTGCTGTGCCCTCACCGGCCATGGGAGGCAGCACTGAGGCGGCTGCCATGCTGGTCTCTCTTGGACCAGGGGAACTTACTGACCATCCTGTCCCCAGCCCGCTCCCCATTCCTGTTGCACAGCCACCTGCAAGGAGCTTCTATTTTTTTCTCTTTTTGGGTCACACCGGCAATGCACAGGGGTTACTCCTGGCTCTGCACTCAGGAGTCACTCCTGGCGGTGCTCAGGGGACCATATGGGATGCTGGGAATCGAACTGGGTCAGCCGTGTGCAAGGCAAACGCCCTACCCGCTGTGCTATCTCTCCAGCCCCAAGGATCCTCTATTTTTTGTTATTTATTTTTTGGTTTGGGGGGCATACATGAAGGTGCTAAGGCCTTCCTCCAGGCTCTGCACTAAAAATCACTCTCCATGAGCTCCGGGGGATCATATGGGGTGCCGAGGATTGAACCCAGGTCGGCTGCATGCAAGGCAAGAGCTGTACCCACTGCACTATTACCCCAGCATCTCATTCCTCCTGAGAGGACCCCCCCACCCCGGCCAGCCCAACTCCCAGAGTTGAGACTGCGGAGCTCGAAGTCTGGGTGGCCACTCCCTGGACAGGATTCGAACCCATTACCACAGTCCCAACCATCCTCTATAACCCAGGCAGGGGTCAGGGCTGGAGCATGCTCGGGCATCCTAAGCTGGCCTTTGGGACAGTGTGTGTGTGGGGGAGGGGGGCGCACAGATGGGGCACGTCTCTCCCCATGTGGCCATGCTTAGGGCTCAGCGGATGAGGCCTGTTTGCTGGAAGAATTCCCCCATAGCCCTCCAGGGCCTGAGGGACCAGCTCACCGAGGTTAAGGGCTGGCGGGGAGGATCTGAACCCTGACCTGTCCTCACAGGGCTTTTGGGGTGCCCTGTGGTAGGAGTGTCTCCCCCAGCCCCAGAAGGCAGATTTTTCTGGACAACTTTATCTTTTCTTTCTGTATGAAATTTTATTTTAAATACCAGGATCTACAAAGTTGTTCATATTGCAGTTGTTTCAGGCATTCGGTGTTCTACCACCAATCTCACCACCAGCGTGACCTTCCCTCCACCAATGCCCCCAGTTTCCCACCCCCCCACCTGCTCCCTCAGCTGCACAAAATAATTTGATATTCACAATCTAAAGTTGCTTGTTACATCACGAATCTCGCAGTGGCCTTTCACTAAAGTCACTGTCTGAGGATCCAACGAGCTGCGAGGTGCTCACTGAGCCTTCTGAGTATTTCCACTCACTGAGCTTGGTGGGCTTCTACTCAACATCCCTACGAGATGTGCAGTGCCTTCTGTTGACCTCTCAGCTCCGTGCAGTATAGAGGTGGTGTGTGACGGCACAGGCAGCCGCATGCTTCAGAGGCTTTGGGCATCAGCTGCCAGTGTGTCTCTGAGGCCGGTCGTGAAACAGCGGGATCCTGGTGTGGGTGGGAGCAGCGCTGGGTTCTGCCCCCACTCCTAAGGCTCCAGAGATCTGAGCCCAGTGACGGCCAGGCAGACCTGCAATAGCTCAGCTGTGGGGGACTGAGTCCCTGAGGTCAGTCACGAATGAACAGACCTCCTGCCGGTGATGTCGCTCTAAGGTGCCCACGGTCATGGAGAGTTCAGAGACTGACGTGTGTCCTTCTCTCCCTTTAAGGCCCAGCTCCAGCCTCCTGGTGGCCTTTGGGACAGCAGCGTCCTCCACGACCACCCCCTTCTTCCTGGAACCTCTAGCGCATCAGACGGGGGAAAAAAAAACTGCTGGGGCCAAGTCGATGTGTGCAGACTGCTTCCCACGACTTGTCTCTGCCCCGCGTCTGGCCATGCACCACAGGCCCGGCGTGACGAGGGCGGAAGGGGAGGAAGCTCGGTCTCTTCATGGACAGCCCCCACACAGCACAGCCATAGCCGCCGTCACCGAAGATGCGTCTCCAGGGGACCTGGTGCGATTCTCGAGGCCCAGCAGAGATGAATGTCTTCCTTTGCTTCATGCTCGGGCAGCCTCGGCCAAGCACATACTTACTCTGTGCCTGTGCGTGTGTGCGCATGCGAGTGTGTGCGTGGGGGGGGGGGGGTCGCGTCGCCTCCCTCATCTTGGCACCATCTGATGGGGTGCTGGCTGAGTAGAAGCTGGCCCCACGGCTGGGAGACTACAGCCCCGAGGGTGCGGGCCTGGTTTGCATCTGGCCCAACAGCGCTACGTGGTCCCGAGTACTGCTGGGTGCAGCTCTGGGGGTCCCCGGCAGCACCACACACTCCAGGTTTTGATATTGATCCTCTATTCTAGTTGGTCAAGAATTGCTGGGGTGGGGGGGTTGTCTCCTGAGCATCCCCCACAAAAAACAGGCCACTAATAGGGGAAGGACTCACTGCAGTGTCCGTGGGTGGCCTGTGACCACGGGGCCATCCTACCAAAAGCACAAAGATGGCTGGGGGAGTCTAGATGCACCCACTGTCCCCCGCGGGGTGGCCAGGGGACTGGGGGAGTCCAGATGCACCCACTATTCCCCGTGGGGTGGCACAGGAAGCTGCTTTAGGCTCTTCCTTGTTTGCAGTCAACCCCAGACTTCAAGTCTGGGATGGAAGGTGGAGAGTGCCGCCTGCCAGGGCGGCCTGGCACAGCCTGGCACTGGCCCAGTTGGCTCTGGGCTGGGTCCACCTGCGCACTCCGGCTCGTGTGAACACTCTTCCCCGGACCAGTAGGAATCGTGGCGCCTGCCTCAGGACGGTCGCTGTTGGAGCCTCAGTGCTGAGTGAGGACCTGGGGGTCACTCCAGGTCATCGCCCCAGGTCACACAGTGGCAGACCCAGGAGAGAGCCTTCCGGGTGCCAGTGCCACCCAGCCCCTCGCCGCATGCCGCATGCTTTGTGAATGCGCTTCTCTGGTCCCGGCCCATCCATGTGGCCTCTTCCCAGGGGGACCGAGGCCAGCTTCACCCAGACGGTGCTCAATAAATATATCGGAACCCAGCTGACCCGAGTCCTCATTCAAGCACGCTCTGTTCTCACTCCTGATGACCACCTCCCTCGACATGCACTCCCTCTTCATCTGCCCACAAAGTGGGCAAACGGCAGAGGGCCTGGGGAGCGGGGCGGGGGGGGGGGGGAGTGAGGCGAAGGACGCCCACCCACCCACTGTTCCTGCCAAGGTCTTGCCGTCCCCACCCAGGCTCCGTGTGAGCAAATGCATATGCTTCGGAGGCAAAATGGGAGTCATGAGAGCGATGAATTAGGAGGTGATCAGGGCCCTGGAGAGATGGTGCCTTGCATGTGGTGGGCCCTGATCTGATCCCCGACACTGCATGGTCCCAGAGTGCCACCTGCAACTTTTTTTTTTTTTTGCTTTTAGGGTCACACCCGGCGATGCACAGGGGTTACTCCTGGCTCTGCACTCAGGAATCACCCCTGACGGTGCTCAGGGAACCATATGGGATGCTGGGAATTGAATCCGGGTCGGCAGTGTGCAAGGCAAACGCCCTACCCGCTGTGCTATCGCTCCAGCCCCACCACCGGGAACTTCTTGATGCAATGCCTGGTGCACAGTGAATACTTGATAAAAATATTATTATCAACACTTGCGGGTTTCTGGGCCTGCCAGGAATGATCCCTGAGCACAGAGCAAGGAGCAAGCCCTGGGCACAGTTGGGTGTGGTCCAAAAACAAAAGAAGGGAAAAAAGAAAAAGAAAAACCGTGTATGGGCTGGAGCTGCAGCACAGCAGGCAGGGCGGCGTCTGCCTTGCATGGTGCTGACCCAGGTTTGCTCCCTGGCGCCCTCTATGGTCGGCTGAGCCCTGCCAGGGGTGATCCCTGAGCACAGAGCCAGGAGTATGCCCTGAGCACTGCCAGGTGTGGCCCCAACGCACCCCCTCATCAAAAGGTAAAAAAGGTAAAGGCCCTCCCGTTGATCGTCGATTTGCTCGAGCGGGCCCAGTAACGTCTCCATTGGAGACTTTGTTGTTACTGTGTTTGGCATATCGAATACTCTCTCGGTAGCTTGCCGGGCTCTCCAAGAGAGTATTCGATATGCCAGACACAGTAACAACAAAGTCTCCAATGGAGACGTTACTGGGCCCGCTCGAGCAAATCGATGATCAACGGGAGGGCCCCCTCATCAAAAAAAAAAAAAAAAAAAGAAAACTCGAGTAATACATTCGTCATGTATTTTTGAGCAGAAAATGTGCAAAGTCAGAGGTCAGAGGTCAGAGGAGGCAGTTCCTTGGGTCTGAGCCTCAGAGTGGGAGGCAGGATAGGGTGAGCTGTACTCAGGGAGCATGGGGGGCGATCCTCCAAGGGACAGTGCCTGGGGCTGGGGGGTTGCCTGCCCCCACCAGGGGAGCTGGTAGAATGAACGAGGACTGGCCACAGGCCCCGTGCAGACCAGGCACGGGGCAGCAGACAGGGCTGGAAGAGCTGGGGGGAGGGGCGAGGAACTGTCCATGGGGGGCCCTCACGACGAGGCACTGTGTTCAGAGAGAAACTTTCTGAAGGGGCAGGGGACGGGGACAACCAATGCCCCGAGACAGGGCCTCGGGACTCTCACCCTGGTGCTCACGGACGCCCAGAACAAAGGGGCTCAGGGCACAGTGATTCCAAACAGTTTAATGTAGTTCCAAGACAAAGTGTGATTACATTTCTACACATATACAATATGCATATGTGAGCTTACAGATTTTCATTAATAACTCGTTTCACCTCAGAGACCGAAAAAATGATCAAAAAAGAAACTGTAAGTAACAAGCTCTAACGAAATTCACCACAACGGGACCCCCCCTCACCCTACAGTTAGTAATATTACAATTAAAATAACTATATTCTTCTATAATTTTTTTCTGTTAAAATCATCTCATAAATTTACAATGCTATTATTAGTTTCCAAGACTAATATAAATTCACTCCATTTTTCTACAACGAAAATGATGATTAATTTAGAAGCACGACATCATGAGGAGAAAAACACAAAACATCTTTTTTTTTTTTTTTAGTAGCAAGGACGTGATCAGTTAAGAATTATTATTATTCTCTTTTTTTTCCTGGTAAAACATTCTAAAGCCAAGTAAAATATCCATTCTTATAACATACCTATAGCATGAGACTAAGGAATAGGGTTACATATAGGTCTACGACACGTTGGTCTGTCTTGAACCAAAACGAAACCAAACCAAATAGGAAAGAAGAAGAAGAAAAAAGCTGACATTTATAAATAAACGGGGAGAGGAATAACTCACAGAGGGAGAAGGGGCTTTGAAAAGACGGGGCGCACGCGTTTCCACAAGGGTCAACATGGAATAACACTTTTCATCACAGAACCCAAGACGGGGGGCGGAGACACAGCAGACCAGGCCTTGGAGGGTGGCGGTGCTGAGGTGACCCGGCTACACTGAGATGACCTTGGAAGGGGGGGGAGTGGGGTCGGGGGGTGGTTTGGGGGGGTCTTCCCGGCTCATCCCTGGGCTCCTTCCGGGGAGCGAGTCCTTCGGTCCCAGGGGACGGGAGAGGTAAACGTTTCGACAGACCGTCCTTGCTCTGCATGGTCATGGACACCGGCTCGGGAAACGGGAACTTGATACGTGTGGTCGAAGCGAAACGGGATGGAAAAGTCCAGTCATGGCGAGGCGCTGACCCCCTCCCGGCCTGGCCTCTCCTGTCCGTGTCCTTGATGCTGGGGGTGGGGTGGGGTCCAGGAAGGGCAGGCCCCCTGCAGGGCATCCCCAGTGGGGTGGTGGTGGTGGTGGTGGTGTGTGACAGGGCCCAGGCCTGACTGCAGCCCCAACACCGCTCACCCCCCATCCCCGCCCGGAAGCCCTCCTAGCTGACCTGGTCCCTCCGCGGGCTTTGTAAAGCTATTCTTTCCTCTCAGGAATTTGGTTTGATATATATATACACCCACATATATATCAACATCTCTACCTCTACAGTGATTCTACTCAGCTAGAAACGCGCCCCTCCCCCCACCCCAGCCTATTTTCATTTGGTCAGAATGATGCACGCGGGGCGGGGGCGGGGGGGTCTGGGGAAGTGTTTGGGGATGGGGGCTGGCACCGCCCCGGGAGGAACCCAGAGGTGAGGAGAGACAGGGAGAAGGAGGAGGAGGAGGAGGAGGAGGAGAGGGTGGTGGGTGGTGGGTACGGGGAAGCCGTGAGTCGCGGGAGCACCCGTTAGGAGGGGCCACTGCAGTTTCCACTTGGAAAGTCACACAGCGCCAGAGAGGAAGGGCTTGCTCGGGTGCCCCCGCTCTTCCCCGGCCCAAGTGCTCTTGCATGACCTGAGGCCAAACCGTTCTGCCCCCCCCCCCACACACACACACGTCCCCTCTTCAGCCTGCCAGGGACCCGACACACTCTGTGGGCCACCAAGGTCCCTTCTTCCAGCTAGCAAGAGCACCCTGAGGTGGGCTGGAGTTGAGGGGTTCCCCGGGACGTGGGGGGGGTCGTGGGAGGGAGACCAACCAGGAAGGGGGTGTGACTGAGCACGGTGCACGGAGGAGCAGGACAAAAAAGTGCAGAGAGCAATTGGCGGCAGAGCCTGTCTCAGAACAAGCGCATTCACGTCACACCAAACCCACCCCTCCCCGAAAGTCCAGTCCCTAGACCCTCGCCTCCGACGGTTCGGTGAGGCCCCCAGACGGTGCCGTGTGAACTCGCCCACCGCACCGATGCGCTGGGCAAACAGAGGCGGCTCCCACGGGGCCCACGGAAGCACCAAGCTCAACCCGGGGCCCGGCTGCTGCATCCGTGCCAGGCCTCCCTCTGAGCCAACCAGCCGTGGACCCCA